GGAAGTTTACTTTCATGGAGACAAAAGCAGTATCTTGGAGGTGTTTTTTCATATTCATTTATTTACTCTTTCAGTCATTTAATCAACAAATACATTTTGAAAACATAGGCTAATAAGAAGGAGCCATTCTGCTGAAACTTCTCAACATTTCACAAGTGAATTTCATAGAGGCTTCACATCTTTCCGAACAGAATGGCACCTGCTGCGATATTACATCTTGGGGGGAAAAGCAAACAATTTAAATAGTCTTTCCTTTAAAATAACGTACTGTCAAAAAAACGTGAGGCCTCAGTGAGTGGACGTATATGGTGGTTACTAGGAAACAGGTGAGTGTGCTTGTGGCTACAGGCACTCTGCTGAGCAGTCAGCTGATTATCTATCCCTAGCAGTCAGGGTGGTCTCGTCTATTCCACTTCTTTTTATTCTTAGCTATATATTGTTTAATTTATGCCAGGGAAAGAGCAAGTTGACCACAATTATAAAATTACACAACTTTGCAGATTCACTTCAAAGTCATCTTTATCAGACCTGAAGTTGCATTTATTATAAAAAATCTTAGATATTCCACTCAAGTTTTCTGTAAACCTAAAACTGCTTTTAGAAAAGGTCTATTAATTTGAAAGTAAATAAACAAAATGCAATTTTATTCAGAGTGTAAAAAAATCTTAAGTTTCAAGCTGTCTTCAGTATTTCAAAAGCCCATAGTAAAAGGCAGAATATAGTGAGGATTACATATGTAAGACTATCCTTGACCTCGCTGTGTTATGCGGTGAGAAGCATTTACATTGCAGCTGAAACAAAACAGTAAATATATTAAAGTGAACTGTTTGATTTATTTAAATCCTAAGTGCAAGAATTTCAAAATGCAAGAAGTTTTTATCTGCATTTAGTACTAAGCTAGCAGTTCAGGTTTTACCCATATTTTTATATACATTATGACCATACCAAGCACAATATAATGTCATTTTAATTTATTTGTCTAAAATGGTCTTCTTTGTACATATATTTAAAGAAAACTTAAAAGGATGTCATTTTTTATATTGGGTAAGGCTGAATGTTACCAAAGATTTTATTAAATATTAATTTTATAATATTTGATAAAAGTTTTAACTTCAGATAATATCTGTATCATATATCACACAAAAATTACAAAGTGATTTCCTAAATTGTTAAGATTTCTCAAAAGCTCTTTAAAAAAAACTGGGAAGAACTAAGCTGCTGAGATGGGGTGGGGACTTCCCCTTATTTTACAGTTGAAAAAACTGAGGTTCAGAGAAATTGAATCATTTGCCCAAGGACAAACAACTAATAGATGGCAGATCCTAGATTCAAATTCGTGACCGTCTGACTCTCAAATCCATGCTCTTAATCACTCATGCTGGCGTGTGCCTATGCTTACACAGTGGCGTAGGAGTTGGGGGAAGAGGAGTCTGAATGGTGCCTTAAAGGCAGAATCTGTAGGCAATGGTGATAGCTCAGAGAGATTGAAGTTTTGATAAGTAAGAGTTAGAAATGATACTAAGGCTTCTAGCTGAGAGATTTAGGAAAGCAGTGTTGCAGCCATAAAAATAAATAAATATACAAACAAACAAGATGGGAATTTCATTTAGGGCAAAATATGCTGAGATTGATTTGGCCTTGCTGAGTCACAGGTAACATTAAGATGGAACTGTCGTATAGCCTATTTGACATTATAGTACTCAAGTACTGTTGAAAGTCATTGCCAAATTGTAGACTTAAAATCTGTTAACAAAAGGTAGTGGTTGAAACCAGAAGAATGGAAGGGCACTGAGAAAATAAGAAAACTAGGCCCTGGTCTACGTGGGTCAGTGGTTACAGCGTCGGCCTGAGCACCAAAGGGTCTCAGGTTTGATTCCCAGTCAAGGGTACGTACCTGGGTTGCAGGTTTGATCCCTGGCCCCCAGTGGGAGAGTGTGCTGGAGACAACCAATTGATGTGTCTCTCTCACATCAGTGTTTCTCTTCCTCCCTCCCTCCCTCCCACTTTCTCTAAAAGTCAGTGGGAAAAAATCTCCTCAGGTGGGGATTAAAAAAAAAAGAAGAAAATTTGAATATGAAGAAGGGGGAGAAAAATCATCTCAGCCTCTGGGAGCCATTTATGGGTTTGAGAAGGAAAAATGTAAGCTAAGAAAAAAATAAAAGCCAAAGAGTTAAAGGCGAACCAGGACAACATAGAATCATGAAAACTGATAATAAACGTGGCTAAAATTTATTGAGCACATGGATCAAGTATATGCTCTGTATTTTACATACAATAATACTGTTTAATCCTCTGGGAGGTAGGTTTGTGATCTCTCTTGACAGATGAAGATACGGAGTTTTAGCAAAGTTAAGTCATATGCTCATCGCTCAGCTGGGCAAAAAGTAGAATCCATGTTTCCGGCCTCCAGAGTCTGTTTTCTAACCAGTGGTATCCAGAGGGCACAAAGCAAACCACCGTGGGAAGAAAATGTAAAAATTATTATTGTTATAATTCATCCTTTTTAAATTGTATTTTTTTGTATACAGTCCTCTGTATCCACAGGTTCTGCATCTGCAGATTCAACTGACCACAGATAAAAATATTTGANATTTGAGGATTTATTGCCCCCCCATTCCCAACTACATTGGATTTTATCTTTTCTTTTAAACCTTTGTTAATTCAGGGGATGAAAATATAACTCTTTTAAAATATTTTTATTATAGTGAGATTTAACTTTTTCATGTTAATTAGTCCTTTGTCTATTACTTTTTCTTTAATCTTTTCTATTGAAGTTCTTTTATTGATTTATAAAAGTTCTTCATGTATTAGAATTATTAACATTTTTGTCATATATGTTACAAATACACATACAAAAAGATATTTGTTCCAGATTTTTTAATTTTTAATAAAATTTTTTATTCACAGAAGTTTGATATAAATTTTTGGTTTTCCATCTGTTGTGTGTTTCTTTGTGATGCTGCCTTGAAAGAGACCTAGAAAGGCCATGAGAGTAAATAAATAAATAAACCAACTCGAGCGGAGAACCTTGAGGAAGTGAAGGGGGAAATTAGATTAAAGCAAGTGTCCCAAGAAGGCCGAGACAGGCCTGGTTTAATTCCATCTCAGCATTAACTACTAATTGGGCAAGTGATCAAATCTCTCAGAACCAGGTTCCTCTTGTTGACTGAAGATAATAATCCTTTCTCTGAACGGTTGTTGGGAGGGCGAGATTTAAAAAAAAAAAGGTGAAAGATTTATATGCTCTGAAGAGAAACACTAGAGTAAGACAAGTACCATATGATTTCATTCATATGTGGAATTTAATGAACAAACTGAGCCACCGGCAAAATAGATTCACAGATAGCAGGCAGACAGCTCTGGAGGGCAGGGGTGGGTGGAGGGGTTGAGCAAAAAAGAAAAAAAAAGCGAGAACTCATGGACATGGACAACAGTGTGGTGATTGCAGGGGGTGAGGGGTGGGTAGAGGTGCAAGATGGCATAGAGGGGATAAATGGTGATGGAAAAAATAAATTTGAAAAAAGTGTTAGACTGTTGCTGACATTTACTATGTAGTTAGGCCTACTGTTGTTGCCATGGTAGTAGGCTTTTTTCCTTGTCATTATTCCCTAAACAATACAGTATAACAACTATTTTACATAGCATTTACATTGTATTAGATATTCTAAGTAATCCAGAGGTGATTTAGGGTATACAGGAGGATGTGCATAGGTTATGTGCAAATAATATGCCATTTTGTATAGGGATGTGCGCATCCTCTGATTTTGGCATCCAAGGGGGGGTCCTGAAATCAATCCCCCATGGTCACTGAGTGATGACTATATTTTACAACATGCATCCTATATTAGTATGGTAGTACATGCATATCATACATACATGCATACTTTATAAATTATTAAGTATATACTTATTGGGATGTATACTCAATTTACTAATGTAAGGATGCAATGAAAAGTTTTGGAGATCATTACACAGGTGCCTTTTTATTTCTTTTCTTTTTTTTAATCCTGCTATTTTATTTTTATTTTTTTGTTTTATTTATCTTTATTGTTGAAAGTATTACAGACGTCCCCTTTTTTCCCCCATTGATCCCCT